TTTTTGTAAAAACTGAAAAAAATTGTAAAAACAGAAAAAAAAATATTTTTAATAAAATATTTTCGTTTTTAAAAAACTGAAAAAAATATTTTCAACAAAATATTTTCGTTTTTGAATTTTTTTTCTTCATTTTTCAGTTTTTAATAAACGAAAATATTTTATTTTTTGTTTTTCAGTTTTTTTTAAAGAAAAAATATTTTCGTTTTTTTTTAAAAAATGAAAAAAATGAATTTTTTTTTATAAAAACAAAAAGCATTTGTTGAAAATATATTTTTCAGCTTTTAAAAAACGAAAGTATTTTATTAAAAACGTTTTGTTCAGTTTTTACAAAAAAAATGCTTTAATAAACTGAAAAAAAAAATATTTTTTTGTGAAAACTGAATTGTTTTTTGTAAAAATTAAAAAAAAAATAAAAAAATAAGAAGACTTTACTAAATTAGTGGACTATTGATGCATTAGTTTAAAAAAAATGAAAATATTTTGCAAAATATTTTTTTTTTAAGTTTTACAAAAAGAATAATAATTATTTTTAATTTAGCATTGACCTAACGGTCAAAGGGCATAAGTGAACCAAAAAAGTGGATGGAGGGGTATTTTTAGCCCAATAGGTGGATGAAGGGTATTTGTAAACCTTTTCCAATAGTTTAGGGGCATTTTGAACCCTTTTCCGTGAGATAACAGAGACAAATAGCACAACCTGTAACAGCAAAGGAATTAGGAACACAAAGCTACAAGAGAAGTGCGAAAATTACCGGCAATAGTGCCACATCGTCTAACAACAAGGAACTCGGAGTAAGAGAATACAAGACTAGTACCACTACTACTAGTACGACTAGAAGAGACTCTCGACTAGTCAACCCACAATCCTAATCCTCGACCTTCACACCTCCCTATCGAGGGTCATGTCCTCGGTAAGCTAAAGTAGTGTCATGTCTTGCCTAATCCCCTCTCCCTAGTACTTCGAAGGCCTCCCTTTACCTCTCCTCTGCCCCGCTTTGGTCAACCTCTCGCAGCTCCTTGGGGCATTGGAGTCTCTCCTCTTCACATGCCCGAACCATCTCAGCCTCGATTGCCGCAACTTGTCTTCCATAGGGGCCACACCCACCTAGTCCCTAATAACTTCATTCCTAATCCGCTCTTTCCCGGTATGCCCACACATTCATATCAACATTCTCATCTCTGCTACTTTCATCTTCTGTACATGAGATTTCTTAACTGGCCAGCATGCGACTCCATACAACATCGTCGGCCTCACTACCACTTTGTAGAACTTGCCCTTAAGTCTTGGTGGCACACCAGACTCGTAACATCCTCGTCAATCTCCCTGTTCCCCTGAATAATAGACCCAAGATATTTGAAACTATCTCTCTTGGGGATGACTTGTGTATTAAGCTTCACCTCCACTTCTGCTTCCCCCGTCCTCACACTGAACTTGCACTCCAAGTATTCAGTTTTTTTTCCTACTCAACTTGAAACCTTTAGACTCCAGGGTCTGCCTCCACAACTCCAGCCGATCGTTAAACTCGCAACTCGTCTCATCGATTAGCACTATGTCATCTGCAAATAACATACACCATGACACCTCTCCCCTGAACGTGGCGCGTCAGCACGTCCATCGCCAGGGTAAATAAAAATGGGCTAAGAGTTGAACCTTGATGTAACCCCATTATCGCAGGAAAATAGTCCGAGTCTACTCCCACAGTCCTCACCCGAGTCTTAGCTCCATCATACATATCCTTAATCACCCTAATGTACGCTACCAGAACACCACTAACCTCCAGACATCTCTAACCTCCGTTGGGACTATCGTAAGCCTTTTATAAATTGATGAACGCCATATGTAGGTCCCTCTTCCTCTCCCGATACTGCTCCACCAACCTCCTCACAAGATGAATGGCTTCTGTGGTCAAACGCCCCGAGATCCTTCTAGTGGGTGAGGTTGAGAATATTGGACAGCTAGCAAACACTTTTTTTTGATGTTGTTAATAGATCAGCATGTACAATAGATCAGCCCATGGGCATCTTGATGCTGCCTTGGTATGAAAGCGATGCTCTGAACACACGAGGGAGGATGAATCAAGTAGAAGTTTCAATATGGGTCAAGAAATATGCTGAAATTATGCAAGGAGCTTGGTCTCCATACTATGGAGTACAAAGATGATCTATTAAAGTTGCTTTTATGCATTCAAAAGAATAGGTTTGATAGAAATTATAATTAAGTGAAAAGCCCTTTGCCGAAAAAGTAGAGTAGCAGAGGGCTAAAGCAGCTATTCGAATTCAATGTAAAATTTGGTGAAAGCAAGAATAGAGGTAGAAGTTTTGTCATTGATAAGACATGAAGGTAAAAAATTTCTATTGGAAGTTTGGAATGTTAGGGGACTAAACAATAGAAACAAAAGGATGATGATAATACTGATGGTGCATAAGTGGAATTCCGATATATTTTGCTTCACTAAAAAAAAAGGTAGCCCGGTCCACTAAGCTCCCGCTATGCGCGGGGTCCGGGGAAGGGCCGGACCACAAGGGTCTATTGTACGCAGCCTTACCCTGCATTTCTGCAAGAGGCTGTTTCCACGGCTTGAACCCGTATTTTGCTTCCCTAAAACAAAGCTTAAAAATTATAATTCGTCAATCATCAAACAAAATGGGGGAAATCGATGTATGGATTTGTTTGGAATGAAGGCTCAGGTAATAGTGGGATATCATCATTATGTGGTATAAAAGGAGATGAGACTGTTATGACAACTTCTTAGGGGTGTCCATACAGTTTCTGTATGAATGGAAGAGCTTAACCCTGGCTTCAAATGCTTTCTTACTAGAGTATATGGGCCTTGTGATAGAAAAACAGCCGAGAATTATGGAAAGAGATTGCAACTGTAAGAGGATTGAATGAATTGGCCTTGGTCATTGGAGGTGATTCTAACTTTGTAGGTTTGAAGATGAAACAATAGCCGATCTAAAAATGCTCAATCGATGAGAGACTTTTCCAGATGCTAAGAGATTAGGGTGCAAATCATTTTCAAAATGGAAAAGGGTCAAATATGCCCCTATGCTATTGAAAAAGGTCTAATATTGCCCTCCGTTATACTATCAGTCCAAATATACCCGTAACGTCATACTATCGGTCCAAATAAATCCCTGACATCATAAAAGTGGTACAGACCTACCCTTCCTCCGTTAACTGCCTCCCTATGACAACATTTCATTGCCACCTTACCATTATACTCCATTTTCATCCCTTCCCCACAACCTTTCTTTCCCGTTCATTTGAAGAAAAATCACACATCATAGATATACAAACAAACTATGTCAAAAGAAATGCTAACAACTAAAGATAATATGAAACGATGTGAACCGAGAAAACTCTGATTTTGCTATTCAAAATTCATGCTTATACGAACGAAAATACATTTTGTTTTATATAAAAAACTAAGCAAAGATACAGGCAAACTAGTTTAAGGTTTCAAAATTGACCATGGTGAGAAAGAAAAACAACCTAGACACGAGAGTTAATTTTTTTTGTTTCTTTCTCTTCAACCACATTTCTGGAAGGCTACCATTTTTTCTCTCTTTACGTTTTATGTTAATATAAAAGTGCTACTAAATTTTCCCTAAATATGTCTTACAAATTCAGCGACAACACAAGGAAATGCAAAATAAAACACAAAATTGTAAGGTCAAGTGAAAGGTACGTACAATTCCAGGATCGACCGGAGAAGCAACAGGTATTTTGAAAAGCAAGAGGAAGTAAAAGCAGTGAAGTCTTCAAAATAATGATAGAACTTCAAATAATTGAACTTGGTAGCTGCAAACAGGGTGAAATGGTGAGGCAGCAAAAAAATGTGTTCATAGGGGAGGCAGTTAACAGAGGAAGGGTAGGTTTGTACCACTTTCATGATGTTAGGGATATATTTGGACCGATAGTATGACGTTAGGGGTATATTTGGACTGATAGTATAACGGAGGGTAATATTAAACCTTTTTCAATAGTATCAGGGTATATTTGACCCTTTTCCGTTTTAAAAAATAGGATAAGGTGTGAACCGCAAAAGAGTGCATACCTTAAGGGTGCAAATTACATAAAACCCCACTGATCTTCCTCTCATGGGGGGTCGGCATACATGGTTTATGGGAAATAGGGAGGATGCTGCTTCGAGGATCACTTCATGCGTGAAGCGATGCTCACCAAAGAGGAGCGCGCTTAAGAGAATGTGTAGCAAAATAACTCCAAAAAGTAGTCGATTCTTTGAGTTTCACAACATCATGCAATGAGTAACTAATGAGCTCCATTTATAATGATCAACTAATGATTCATATTCTTCACCTATACCAAGAAACTGGAATTAATGTAGCCGCGTGGCCTTTTGCTGTATGTGCGTGCTACACAACAATGTAAATACTAGAGGGCTGGCACATCAGTTGGCACAAGTGCTACAACTTTTATATGTGAAATTGACAACTATTACATTCCCTGCTTATTTCTCGCATGTGCACTAATATTAATGAGCAAAATTGACAGAAGTCCACCGCATATGCGCCTGTATTTTGTTCATACAACCTGGCATAGATCTAGTCTAGCTCATATGCCAACATTTATGGACAAATTTGACAGAAATCCATCACAGATATGCTAGTATTTATTCATAAAATTGGCAGAGACCCCGTGCATGTGTGGTTATGCTCCAAGGTTGTTAACCATAGCAACCTTTTTTTTTATAATTCGAGAAATCCCTGAGGGTCAATGGCGCATGACTCGAAAGTCGGAGGATAATGGGCCTGCCTCTCTACCATTTTCTCCTTAAATACTAGGCTTTTGTCTGCGGCATGGTACGAATCCATGACATGCGCCTAACCTACACATCACGTATACTTGACACTAGATCAGAGGCTTGGGGGCTCAGCCAATAAAAAATTGCTTTCCTGGGTTGAGATGGTTTCTACGTTTTGGTGTTTTATGGGACTAGAATCACTTGCTTCACTTATGTATCTAACGATTTTAATGGCTCTTTTCACATGATTGATGTCGATGTCCTAAACACTTAGTTTCATCAGTTAGACATGTATTCATACGCATCTACTGGAAATGCTTCTCTAATTTACTCCATGAATGATGTGCAATGAAATGTTTTCACACCAATTTTATTTGACCAGGAGACAAGTCAGGGCTCCAATCCAGTGAAGGAATATCCACTTGGGATCAAAACTTCGTTAAAACTACTTACTTGATTCTCCTTGCCGAAGCAGAAGAACATGCTAAGACTTGGGTCATGGGGCAAGGAAACCTTCTTTTATTGAGAGATTCCTCATGTTTCACAACCTAAATTCTCCCTTTGTTATTCTTCTATATGATGTGTGCATGTTTTCTCTCTTTTTGGTTCTTTCTTGTGTGGAAACGACTTCCTTAATGTTGGTTAATTTGTATATGTTAAGTGCCTATAAGAATGGAGCACCATTATGGGTTGATGCAACCCTCATAACTAGCATAAAGTAAATTCTTACACAACAACAACAACATACCCAGTATAATCCCACATAGTGGAGTCTGGGGAGGGTAGTGTGTACGCATACCTTACCCCTACCTTGTGGAGATAGAGAGGATGTTTCCAATAAATTCTTACACAATAAATCCAAATTCTTAATTGTAAGAGATCTCTGCTCAGATGTGGCTCTTGCTGGGAAAATTATTAAATCCTTTTCTGAAAATATTCTTTAAGAGATCTTTTTCAATGATAATGTGATGCTTATGTTTTCCTAAGCTGTGGGTCTATTGGAAACAACCTCTCTACCTTCACAAGGTAGGGGTAAGGCCTGCGTACACACTACCCTCTCCAGACCCCACGATGTGGGATAATACTGGGTACGTTGTACATCTCTTTCAATGAGGCTTTTGAATTGTGAGGATTAATCATGAATTAAGTCAATTAACTAGTTTTACGCTGGTTGGCAGCATACTGCAACCCTCCTTTATCCGAGCTTGGATCCGGCAACGTGACCAAGTTCATATAGGCAGAGTTTGGACTCATATAGTCCATCCCATTTCCTTGGGGCTGAGGCGTAGTTGTTGTGTCTATATGGCTTTTGTAGAGCAACTTATCCAAAACTGCTCTATTCCAGTTCTGAATATAATAATAAGAGATCTTTTCAGCTCAAAATGTGGCTATTCCATTGCAACTTATTCAAACACTCTCCAACAATTAAGAATATGCTGAGATGAGAGTTTTATAAAGCAGTATGAACCTTGTGGGCCTTGTAACAACTTTGATTCCGTTTTTGTTTTCATTTTGACACAATTTCTTTGTTCTTAGCGCATCTAACATTTTTACATATATTTGTGGACATGTTTTCCATTTTCTAACTTCTGGCTTTTGTTTTTGTATTGCAAAGGGTTGCACTTTGAATATGCTTGTAATGGAAAGAAGTAATACAGCAGTGCTTTGTTCTCCAAGGCTTCAAGGTGTGGCCATGTTGGATACAATCTGAAGGTTGTGTTCCAATCCACGTGATCTTCTGGGTATGAACACTTTGATCCCCCTTCAAATCTTCCTGCCTTCTCCATCGTAAAATAAAAGTGGAAAGGAAAAAGAGACCGGATAGCATTTCTTTATTGGTAAGCTCTTAAATCAATTACTAAACCAATCAAGGCCGTGAAGGGCAATTACTTCTTTACTATCATTACGATGTGTGCAAGGATGTATTCATGAGTAGGTTATTTTGCTCTGTTTAGCACAATTCTAGTTAATCTCTTTCTCTTTTCCTACTTCTTTTGTGGTGATGTGGTTTCCTGCCAGCTTGCACGCGCTAATCCACCAGACAACTTGCTTAACACTCATGCACAGGTGATGGTTACTTCACACCTGTCTCTATCCACAAATACTAGTTAGTCTTCTGACGTGACTATTAGGTTGAAGCAAATACTTACTGAAAAAACCTTATAATTCCAGGTCTATTCCAAGAGTAAATGCAGGCATGAGCACCTTGGCTGCACAGGTGATGGTTACTCCCTACCTGTCTCTATCCACAAATACTAGTTAGTCTTCTGTCGTGACTATTAGGTTGAAGCAAATACTTACTGAAAAAACCTGATAATTCCAGGTCTACAATTTCGTCGCTGCCTTGCTGGCAGCCAAGGTGCTCATGCCTGCATTTACTCTTGGAATAGCTCCATTTTATATCCCCTACCTATTGCTGTGATAACTTCAGCGGCTCAAGGGAGGAGGGGGTATGCGAACAAAATATTGCCTGAAGTATTAGTTAAGATTTAAACTAATGTCATTTTAATTTCCAAGTATCCATGAGTGGTGTGGTCATTTTGTCTAAACTGAATAGCTTGTATGAAGTTGATCAAAGTCTACGCTGGTCAATGTCATTTGGAATATTAGGTGCACGCATATCTTTAGATAAAATATCAATGAAAAAACGTTTACCAGCATTCTTACAGATAACGATGCTTGTGTGTCCGCATGAATATAACTCGCACATAATATATATATATAGATAGACAGATACGTGTGTTGAAGGAACAGAGTTGTTTCTCCTTTTGTTATGTACATTTCCAGCACCCACGCAGTGGGACATATCTTGAACATATAGATAGATAGATAGATAAAGAGAGATATAGAGACACATAACGGGGGGGGGGGGGGAATCTAAATTACTCGTAGCTGATGGCCCCAAAAAGATTACTCCCCCTTTGTTTCATCTTATATGCTGGTATTTGACTGGACGTGGAGTTTAAGAGAGATAAAAAGGCTTTTGACTCATAAGCTTTGTTGCTCCGACTCTCCGAAAATGTCGCTGGATACGTGTCGGATTCTCCAAAAGTAGTGTATTCTTGGAGGATCCGACACGGGTACAGCAGCATTTTGGAGAGTCCACGCAACATAGCTCATAAGTTAAATATTGATAGCACACCAAGAATACTCTTATAGTCCTCTGATCTTAAACATGTCATGTCATTCCAATAAGAAAGTGTTATTAAAGGTAAAATGGGAATGATTGAAAGGTGTCAATCATTTTGGAGAGGACTAACAAGGAAAGAGTGTCGTATAAAGTAAAATTTAGGGGGTATTATTTACGTTTGTGGTATAACTGACCCACTACATCAATTAGCTAATTCCCTTGTTCCTAACTCTTTCCCCTTCCCCTGATGTATACACTGTAGTTCACACAATTTGATCTCCCTCGCAATATGAGATATTTATGTAAGTTCATACAATTTGGTTTCCTTTCGCAATATAAAATGTGTATGTAAAGTATCTAATATCTGTTTTTAACATTATCCAACAGGAACTTTGTTTACTACTTGATGGCTATCGGGACGAATTTGTCCAAAAATCCCTATTTATTTTTCAGCAGGTTCTCTCTTAATCTCCTTTACTTCTTTTTATTATATTTTTGGCAGGGCTGTGATTTTCCTTTGAGGAACTCTTGGCCCTTCTTGATTCATATTAAAGAGACACGAATTATGTCCATCATTCTTTTACACAAGGCCTGCTCTCCTAATCCTTCTAATAGATTCTGCTTTGTTAGATGCGGTTTGGCTAAACGATGGGGACACATCGATGTCAGCTAAAACACCCAGCAGAATCCAGTTTGATGAGAGCCCTGCTAGGTTATTTTCCTTCTCATTTCCTCCTAAGTTGGTATAGTTTCATTCTATACAAGGTGTTTCTTATCTCTATCTACTTGTACGCCATTCTAGTTCCTTTTACCCTTTGGTTTTCTTTCAAGGATTTCATGGTGAATTTTCACGCTAAATGACTCCTAGAAATAGTCAATTGATATAGTTGGCTTATGATGATGATAATAGTAGTAATATGAAAGTTTCTGATATTTTCTTTTCCATCTCAAAAGTATTATCCATTTGTTCTCTTTTGGAGTACTTCCGATCCAGTTATGTGTCTTCTTCTGTTGTTACCTTTCTAATGTAGTAATTGATTCTTTCAAAGAATCTAACTTTGCCTGTTTATTGGATTCTTTTTCCAGATTCATCAAACCTTTTACATCCGAGGAAACCGTGTATCTTGCCTAGTTTCTGTCACCCAAGGATTGATACTCTGTACATAGCGATAAGCCCAAGATGGTGTTACTTAAAGAGAACTGAATTAGATCCGCAGATTCAGTATGTAATCCTGCTTATATAAGTGTCTCCATTCCTTAATCTACGTTGAAGTTGGTGCATCATTCTCATTTTGCCCAAGCTGCAAGTTTATGGTTTCAGTAGTTAGACGCGGAATTAGTTGATTGTATGTGAGAATCAAGTCTTTCCAAGTATGTAATGACAGAGTAGTTGATGGGATACTCGCATGCCAAAAAGAAACATAACCCAAAGAATTTGTGCATCAAAAAATGTTGAATGACCATCTCATCTAAAATCTTAAGCCGTTAGAGTGGGCACATTTCTATTTACTTTTTTTTTATTATGAAGAGCACACTTCTACCTATCTATACTATTATTACTATATTAAAAGTACGAAGGCCCTTAGCAAAAAGTCGTTCGTTTGTTTTATCCTTTTAAAATATAGTACGTACTAGACAAAATAGTCATTTGATTATTTTTCTAATATTTATGACATATAGTCAATTAATAATTTTCCTAATATTTAGGACTTCTATATCAACTAAGTTTTCTAATTGATTTTTTTCTTCTTATTTTAAGTATGTAGTATGCCATATTTGCTACCCAAAAAAAGTAGTAACACGTAATACATAAAAAACCACACGTAATACATAAAAACCACAATTTTAGGTTTAGAAGCTTTTGAAAATATTGCAAATTTACATAGTTAGGAGAAAAGAAATTAAAAAAAAAATCACAAGTAGAGAAAAAATGATTAATAAAAAGGGGATGTTGCATAACTAACAAGCTTAACAGCTGGTTTGGATGGTTGTTGTGAATCGTTTCATGGTATATCGTATAGTATTGTATTGTATTGTATCGTTGTGATGTATACAATGTTTGGATAAATTGTATTATTTTTTTTCATTTTATGATGTTATGCACCAACAATATTAAGAATTACAATATTATTGAGAAAAATTAAGGTACGAGGTAGAATTATTATATCAAAAGATAGGGTAAAGAATAAAATAAAATTATTTAATAATATGGAAGGGCAAGATGAGAGAGAAAACTAAGGGAATGACGCGACCACACCCAATCGGTCGTTTCATAAAGTAGTACTTTTTATCGTTACGTAACGACGAATTTAACAATACGATACAATAAAATTTAAGTAACAATCAAAACAAGTATTATATTTAAAGTAATAATACAATATAATATAACAGGTAACAACAACCATCTAAACAAGCTGTAAAAGAACGAATGCATGACTCACATTAGGATAGTTTCGAACAATTTGTATTCCTTTTAGATTTGAGAGTCTTTTATCTTCTGTTAACTTATTTGTAAAGATTGATTCTTTGTAAATTCAGTCTTTTAGCAAAAGTTAACAATTACATAATGCAATTTGACACTATGTTCTTCTAATAAGCTACTAAAAAATTAAGGGGAATAAATATGGAGATACTTAAAGTTGGCACAATTTTTCATTTAGACACCTAAATTGAAGGTTGTTCCTATTGAGCACTTATACTACACTAAATTTGTTCCAATTAGACACTATTTTGACAATTAGCCAAACTTACAAAGTCTGTGCAATGCACTCGCGGCTGACATGGCGAATGACAAATAAAAAAAGGACATATATCATTTTGAGTTTAAAAGAAAAGAAAAAACTATTTTAAAATCTATTTAGTTAACAAAATAAAATAACATTCTCAAAAAGAAAAAAAAATAATTTACACCCAATCAGAAAATGACACATTATTAAGAAAAGAAAAGACAAAAAAAGGACACATTGGTGTTCTTGAAATCATTGTTCTTGGTGTTCTTCACTATCTTCATGTCTATTCTTGTTCCAATCACGATTTTAATCCAAAATTTCAAGAGAAACACCTCCAAATTTGTTATAACTTCAACTAAAGGTTCCCTACCAAGACTCGAAGACAACCCCAATATACATTTCTCAATTTCTCATCAAATCAAGTAACCCATTTTAAACCTTCAAGCTTTCTTAAAGATCCCATTAATGATGTTTTGACTTTAAATGAAGAATATGGTCCTACTTCCATTTCAATCAACTGATACGGTCCTCCACCATTATTATCTAAGGAAATGAGACGCATTTCTTTTGTTTAATTTCATAAGAATAGAAAACAAGAACGTAAAGTAGCATAAGTCCATATCTATGGGATGTCTAGTTGTTAAGCAGGCAATATTGATTTTGATTACTTTTAAGCAAAGTAAATTAATGGCAGGGGCGGCCCTTCCATAAAGCAAGTAAAGCAACTGCTTTAGGCCCTACATTTGTGGGGGCCCCTTTTTTATTACACCTAATAGGCTATGTATAAGTTTAAAAAAAGGTTATGTGAAGTGAAAAAGTTTGATTTCTTTCTTTAACAAGCATAGGGAAGAAGGATTTGCAACTGCTATGATTTCTACCAAGAAAATCGTACTTGAAATGAATATCAAACCCAAATTTTGTAAGAAACATATCATATATAGAAAGTAACAATTTGATGAGAATGTTGATAATAAAATCTCAAAATCTTTCGAATAGTCCTTTGGAGTTGATTACTTTATACATAATAGACAATGCTATTTTTTTCACTTCAAAATAGATTTGAACAATTTGAAGCATATGAAAATATTTTTGATTTTCTATTTAGTGGTAAAAATTAAAATTATTAGATGATGAAAATTTGAAAAAATATTGCCTTAATCTTGAATATTCCTTAAATCATAATAATCAATTCGATATTGATGGTTTAGATTTATTTTCGGAATTAAAAATATTAAGAAAAATAGTATAATTAGAAGTAACAGTTTAATTGATATACTCAGTCAAATAAAAAAAAATTTGATTCTTTTTCCAATGCCTATATTACTTATGGAATAATGTTAATAACTCTTGTTTCCGTCTTTTTAACAGAAAGAAATTTTCAAAATTAAAATTGATAATATCTCACCTAAGATCAACAATGTCTCAATAAAGATTAAATGGATTAGTTATATTGTTAATTAAGAAAGACTTATTAGGAGTTATTGATTATAAGAAAATTATTAATAACTTTGTATCTAAGAAACGCTAGAAAAATAGACTTTAAATAAATAAATAATTTTTTTTAATAAAAGTTAAGGCTCCTCATAAAATTTGGCTTTAGGCCACAATACTAGTCGGACCGTTGTAGAGTGGGGCGTTAACGAAGATTAAAGTAGAGTGTTGGAATTAATAAGTGGTGTTCTTGGAAGATATTCTGGTTCTTTTGAGCTCGTTTCCGCTGGTTTTTGGCTCTCTTCCCACTTAATCTCCTCTTCTGCACTATATGTGATTGAAAGTCTCGTCATCCTTTCAAGAAATACGCTTGTAAATTTATTTATTTTCAAAACAAAAATTTTATCGCCAGAAATTAAATTTACTATACTATCTCTCATTAACTTAACGCATATCTCTCACACATAAATATAACCCTCTTCTCCTCTTCCTTTTTTAGGTTTAACTATATTCTTGTTGATTAAAAGCCTCAATATAAATTTTATTTTATATTTTAAAAGTAAACCAAATAAATAAATACTTTATTGAAGAATTTTATAAGAAAATATTTAAAATTATTCCTTTATTTGAATAATGTAATAGTAAAATGAACTTGTGTATCGCCTTTTTTCTTAATTTGATACTCACAAACACTTTTCAAAAACATTGGTCACATACAATATGTTCATCAATAACTAAAAAGGTATATTTGAAATTTATTAGTCCAAACACAAATCATTTTGTCTTCGAAAGTGCTTCTTTTAATGTCATAAAGCTATAACATGCGCGAAGTATTATGAAGTGATTATTTTGGTTAATATTTAATCCTCTAATAGCAGAATTTCTTAAACCAGCGTCTGTACTCAAAAAGGATAGTGCAAGTTTGGTGCACAATTTTAAATGAGACAGCATATCTGCATCACTAAGAAGTACATGTAAATTTTCAACCATCAGAGTTCAGACCACAAAAAACACACACACACATGAAATCACAAAAGAAAGGTCATTAGGTATGAAAGTTTCTCTTTAAGCCAAAACGGACAGTCGAGGAGAAGAATTTTGGAGAGCCGTGGAAAGAGATCGAAAAGGGAAGTATGACAGTTGGAGACAAAGATGTAGTTGTCCTAGCTGTTAGCCCCTAATATTGAGACGTGACGGATGTTGGGCAGAATCTATGTCAAGGGCTTGTACATTGCCCATTTGCATAGGTCCGTGCGGGTGTTAGCAAGCAATGTGCGAAGCTGAAAGTTTGTCTAAGTTAGTACATGGACTTAGGCAAGGTGTCTTGAGTGTCACGACTCAAAATCCACTAAGGGTCGTGATGGCGCCGGACACCACCGTCAGACAAGCTAACCAAATTACTTAATTGAATTCTCGTTTTAATACTCTTGAAATCTATGATTTTCCTCCAAATTTACAAATAAAAAAAGAAGATAATCGCTTCAATTCAAATTAAATGATAAGCAATTAATACAAAAAATACTTCATAACCATCCCAGAACCCGGTGTCACAAGTGCATGAGCATTTTCTAAGAATTTGAATAATTTACAACAGCTGTCCGGAACACAAATGGACAAAGAGTAAATACAATTCTGAGAGAGACTATACTAGCTGCGGGTCGCCTCGAGGAAATACAGTCCACCTAGTCTCCGGGTCGCCCGTGCTGCTACGCCCAATGGGCCAATAGAAATACATATACCTGTGCAACAAAAATGCACAGCAAGTGTAGCATGAGTACGAAAACAACGTGTACTCAGTAAGTATCCCGCCTAATCTCGAAGAAGTAGAGACGAGATGGCAACTTCGACACTTACTAATGGTCAAATTATAATATTATTAAAGCGATGACTCACGAATTTATTAAGGACATCAGTAGATTCAAATGAATTACCAAACAGGTAAAAGCTCATTTTTATTAAAAGTCTCCGGATTCATAATTCATTAATTAACAATTATCTCAAGTCGGGGAGAGCAGATGGCAATATCAATAAATCTCAAGACAAGCAATTCAAATATGCGCAACTCATGCCGAGGTCGTACGACCCGATCCAACATAAATGTAAAATGTGCACTGCGAAGGTCGAGCGGCCCGAACCATAGATGCATCTATTACCCCGCTCGCGAATTGAAGCTGCTCATGGCCTCGAACTGCTGAACGGCGCGCTAGGGCTCAAAACGACCGGTCGGGTCGTTACATCCTCTCCCACTTAAACATACGTTCGTCCTCGAACGTGCTAGGAACTCTGTTGGGGTTGTCTGGAATCACTGCTTAACACCTCGTGCACCTACCCGTGCTACAACAACTCAGT